GAGGAATTGTTCAAAGTTGTTGTTGTAAAATTTTAAAATTAAATTGCTTGCAAACGTCAAGAATTGGAAAAATTCCTCTCAGCGGTTCTACCTTCCTATTTTTTTATCATGGTTATCATTATTTCTGCTCATTGACAAAATTAAAATAATATCCGAGCTTTAGTACCTGAGAGCTGCAAACTATTTTAAGAAAATATTGTTTTAATTTCTTAAGCGTTTTTTATATGTTTTTCGTCTTTCTTGCAGTTAGATTAGCGCAGCTGTCCAGCTTCGTATCAGCCACTTAACAAGCATGCAAAAAGCTTTGGGTTCCTCGCGTCCAAATCTTGTTAAGCTCAAGATATTTTAAATACTTGAACTTTTGATATTTTAAAGTTGGACTGTTGTTTCGTATATCTTTCTGACCGATAGGGAGTGTTTTTTACACTTGCTTTGTATTTTACAACTGACTGATGTCTAATTTTTACACTTCTGGTAAGATTTTATTTACGAAAAAGTTTCTATTGCACTTAAAACAAAATGCGCAATAAATGCGATCACACCTCCTTAAAAGGAAATGTAACGATTAAAAAAAACTATTACTTTTTGAGAACTAAAAATGTACCTCAAAATAAAAGCCCCGCACTTTCCTTTTGGGAGGGAGAAATCAATGAGCTCTGGTATCAAAAATTCTTAAACTTTTTCAACTTTTCTAAATAAAGCCCTCTGTAAATTTATTCAATTTGACCAATCATAACACTTCACTTCAGCCAGAAAAAAAATTATTAAAAATCAACGCGCTTTCTTAGCAACTTAAAACTTGCACTTTGTTATTATTAGAATATAATGGGCTCATACTCAAAATGTAAGACGTTAACATTGAAGCGAACCAAAATCATAACTGCAAACGCATCCATAATGAGTTATTTCACCAGATATTTTTATAACTATGAAATACCGACATGGTGGATAAAATAGCCTTGATGCCAGTAAATAATTCGAGAAGAGACAAAAGAAGCCAATTTCCGGTCTATTCCGGTTCCAATGTCGGTCTATGACAATGCAAAAAGTTATCGAACGTCTTCTGAGTTTTAATATGCGAAATCTTCTTCACTTCGCATGAGGACAAAGATACCATTGAATCGGTGAGTTCGACAACCGTACAAGTCCAAAAATGAGTTGAGTTCAAAAACATTACAGGTCACGGACAAGTACCGCTTTCTCCTCATTTCACGAGAGCAATCAGCTGAGCTACGTTAGCGGAGAAATTAGTGAAAAACCGTGCATGTCCGTAACTTGTACTCTTTTTGATTTCAACAACGTAAAACTGATTTTGGACTTGTACGTTTTTCGAACTCACCGAATCAATTGATTTCAAATAGCTATACATTATATGAAAACTAAAGCAAGGAAGAAATTCTCTAAAATTGCCTCAAAGAAGACGAAAAACATTTATTTGTTGTTTTCAATAAAAAAAATTTCCCCTAGCCGTAGCCGAGGGGACAGAGGTGCGTATTTCCACCCGGTAGAACCCAAGAAAAGATTTCTGGTTCGAGCAGCATTAAAAAAAAAAACTCGTTTTTAATAGCAGTCGCCCTTCGGCAGGCCATGGCAAATCTCCGAATATAATTTTGTAATGAAAAGCTAAAATGCTTAAAGCCATATTCCGTTCGGAATAAATAGTAAACCGCAGGTTCTTCCATTTGGGTGTTAATATCAAGAGAAGCCGGTCGAACACTTAACAAAACTGCGAGCGCGTACTTAGTATTAGTTTATTATTTAAATTCAGGCACTCATCCGAAAAAAATATCAGTATGCCTCATCGTTTTTTAAAACGTAAAACGTGAAAAATAGTTGACTGTATCGATTCCTTGTTACAGATACATATCGCTACTTTAATTCACAAAGGCCCTAACGAACAATTTTTTTTATTTTACAGGAGAAGCAAAAAACATTATAAAAAGAGTATCAAAAACAGGTAGACTTTATAAAAAGTGGTATGTAACTCCGTTTTTTTTTTTGGCACTAACACTTTTAAACTTTTTATTGAAGGTGTATTTTAATACATCCTACAAAAATTTGTGAAAAACGCAGTTTCGAAAAAAGTATTGGTTAGGGCCTTTGTGAATTTGGGTAACGATATTCATATATGTATGCGTAGCTTTAAGGGCTGAAATTGGTATTAAAATGGAGCTATATATGATAAGCGTAATGCAGCTAAATTGCCCTTTGGTAAATCTGTTGCTAAGGAGATACACCGAAAAGCATTTGACATTTAAAAATATCAAAGCTCTATATTGAAATGTACCATCCTCCAATAAATAAAGACTAATTGGCCACGACAAGCCTCCTGCCTTAAAAAGGTTTAAATCAAACACGTGTTATCCGTACAAAAATATAATTTTTTCTATGCTTGTCTGCAGTTTTTTTTTTCTTAGGAACAAACACTTTTACAGATTTAAAGCCCAGCCAAGGATGGAATATACATAAAAAAGTGACTTTCAGAATCACGTCACCTTCTGTAGAATAATATAAAATTTCTCAGAAATTCCCATAGATCAAAACTTTTCATCAGCGAGATATTTGGAAGAAGTTCATTTGATGTGAAGATCATTCGTCGTAAGTGTTGATTGCATCCTCTAAAAATTTTACTATTATTTGAAAACCGCTTGTTTTTAGCAAATTTGCAAATCAAAAATTGATGGCAAGTCCAGCAGAAATGCGTGTGCTATCAGAAAAAACTCGACCCTATCAAGCTGGCATTTCAGGGGACTATTTTATATATATATGAGGAAAATTTGAAAGTTAGGGGGGCTCGAGCACCCCCCTGCCCCTACCTGGCTACGCCCATGCCTCACCCTCTTCGCTGAGTGTCTTTCAATAACACTCAACATACTTAAACTATGCCGGTAGACAGAAGATTTTAAATTTTTTTAACCATCTTCAAAATATTTTCAAACTAAGACTTTCTTAAACCTCTCTCTTGTGATATTTTCTCTGACTTACATGTAGTTTAGAAATTAAGCCCCGTTCAAAACGATTTCGATTGATACCCTTCTCGTAATAATCCATTGAAATTATTGAATAGTTTGAAATTAAATTTGTAAACAGTTGTCAACCTCATTCGTCTGACACTCATATTGTGATACATACATATGTATTCAAATTACTTAATTCCTATAATTCAAATCGAATTTGAATTTTTAAACATGTGGAAACCATGCTATACATATGTAGCTTAGAAATAAAGCCTTTTCGAGACTCTTTCGATTAATATCGTAATATTTCATTTAATTATAATACAATTGTGTATTTGAATTTAGTTTTAAAACAACAACCCTCTTCAAATACCTCAGAAAATTCTGCATGTTCATGCTGAACATTTCAAAACAACTTGAGTATAATTAATTTAAATTCGGCTTTAAAAAAAAATGGTGGCAACCCAATTCAAAATATTTTCCAACGATAACCTCATTCTGGGTTATCGAATGGATGCATTCAAAGTGTATGCTTCGTTCGTATCTATTCCCATTTAGTGATAGCATTTTCGTAGATTTCGCGAAAATTCGGACTACGACGGATTCAGTGATAGCGCTGATTAAACCCCTTTCGTCCGACGACACCGATATTGTGAGCATATTCCAATCACCTAACTCCCTTAACTCAAGTAACATTTGATTTTTTTGTTAACAGGTGGCAACCTTCCAACTTTAGCTTAGAACTAAAACCCTTTTCAAAAACATTTCGATTGGTGCCCATATTTTAGTAATTTAATTAAATTAATTGATTTTAATTTTTAAACGGGTGACAACCATTGTAAAGCACCTCAATACTTTTGTAAATGTTCAATCTGCAGACTTCCTATTAATCTTTAGTATGACACCCATATTTTAGTTTTTCAGACTTTTCAAACAGGTGGCAACCCTTTTCAAACAACTTCTTTTAAGCCTCTTGGCATCAATTTTTTAACAAAATTTTCAAATAAATAATTCCCTTACTTCAAGTTGAATTTGATTTTTTAAACAGGTGGCAGCCCACCTCCATGAGTATGGAAGTGATTTAATATATCCGCATACCAAGCTCCAGTACTCTATCACAAATATTTCCTGAGATATTCAGTCGGTAAAAATTACGTTTGTATGGGGAGGTGCCACGCCCCCTCGTCTATTCAAGATTAAATCGACTATATATATATATATATATGGGCTAAAGGACACCAGTGTAAAAGATTTCATGATTATCGATCACTTTAAAATTTATAATATTAGTAAGGATAGTCTTGAGTGGTTAAATATATTTTTAAATAAAAGAATATCGTAAACTTCCCAAAAGAAATAAGAACTAAAGAGGGGGTATTTAATATTTTTTTTTTTAATTTTAGGAGGGTGTTTTAATATTGTGTTTCTTCAATAAGAATAGCCGAGTGGTTAGAGGTGCGATGTACCACTCCGGAGGACGGAGGATCCGGGTTTAAGCACTGGTCAAAGCAACATCGCAAAAAAATATAACAAAAAGTTTTTCCCTAACAGCGGTCGCCCTTCAGTAAACAATAGCTAGCCTCCAAGTGTATTTCTGCCATGAAAAAACTTCTCTTGAAACTCTTTAAAACCGCCAAAAACAAAAAAAAAAAAACACTAAGGCATAGCCAAAGTAACTCACCCAGCGGCGGCATGTTGCTGCAGCTCTACAAATGCCGATTTGCCGGGCATTTGTGCGCCTGGCGTTCCGGTTGTTGTTGTACCACCATCCATATACTTGGGAGTGTGCGGTGCGTCGGGCGCATCCATGCCGGATTGTGGTGTACTGGGAGGCCCCTCATAGGGGCTCCCTAAGTCAGTAAAATTAAGCGTGTTGGCGCCTATCGAGGCCACTTTATCAAGAATTTTGACGGCTTTTTTGGGGGACGCGTACACGAAATTAAAAATTCACAGCGTTTTGTCAAAAGTTAAAGGTTTACTTTTTTGCTCACTTTTATTCACTTTTTTTTTTAATTTTTGGAAAAGTGTAATTTAAATAAAAAAAAGCACAAAACCGCAAACAATTTTTCGAAATAAAGAAAATGTAAGTGTGTCGATATTTTCCTCTTTTATGAAGTTATTTTCCTTGCTGATGACTTTACTGTTATTGTTATTGTTGTTCTTACTTTCTAGTCGTTCCTTACTGTTTCTTTTTTTTTTATCGTAAACAATGACACACGCACGTTAAGACGAAAGTGAATCAATTTTTTTTCGAACAGCGTATTTTTCAATTGCAACAACAGTGCCGCCACAAGCCACCAAACTACTTTTCCAACAACACTTTTAATTAGCGTATAATTTGTGTCATTTTACTTTCTGCATTGCAATTAGCGATTTGCTGCGCGACGGCGACGGCGGCGGTGGCGGTGGCGATCGCGAACGCTCTTCAACGAAAGTTTCTTGACGTTTATGGGCGAGTGTGTGTGAGTGCGTGCCTTGATTTTGGCGTGGGCGGCAAACTATGTGGTTGGTTGGCTGCTTGTTGTGAGGGGAGGGCTGTTGATTTGGCTGGGCACGTGACTTTTTGCAGCGATTTTAATTGTTTCTGATAGTCGATTAAATTTTTTTTGAGGCCAAATAGTTTTGTGTTAAACCGCAGAATTAAGCACTTGGTGAATGAAATTTTATTAAGTGAAGTACCTTTTTTAGTTTACTCTTTTCCTCCTATTTTGGTTTTGGAAATATCTTATCAAATCACTTAAACGAACTTTTTTCAAATCATCCAGTTCCCTGTGTCTTTTGTGTTAAGTTAATTTTATGGAACCAGCGTTATTATTTTTTTTTACTTTTTTTGACTACTTTTAGGTTTTTTGATTGGAGTGTAAAAAAACTTCTTTGTTCGAAATATTTTGTTTTAATTTATTTTAAATAAAAAATCGATTTTTTTTTTGTCATAGGTTTTTAATTAAGATCAGCACGTACTTTTTCTGTCCTGTATCCGTCCTTCGGTATATTTTTAAGTCAAGCAAATCACTAATTTTTCTTTTCTTCTTTTTTTATGTATTTTGAACTTAAATGCACTATTTCAAGATTAGGAGCATTTCAAAATTCACCTCGGTCTTCAGTTGATTGCAGCTGAATTTTTTAAAAGATAATTCACGTTTTTTACTCTCTTAATATTTTAATCAGCCAAGCTTTATTTTTTTATTAAAATTGCAATCAAAATCCGCCGCGAAAATCGCGCAATTGGAAGCGTTAACACGACGGCGGCGTTTACACTCGTCTAAGCGCGTTGTCAATTCTTCGAGGTAGCCACCACACACAGTAAATTCACCCGTCGATTCGAAACACTGCGAACGAATTGTACGCGCGACCAACCACAAACAAAGTGCGTGAACGACTAGGTACGAGGTGATTATGTGATCATTTGCTGCGCTGCAAAGACGCCCGCGAACACTGAATGCCGCTCGCTGCTCGCTCCAATCCGACGATGACGATGACGACGACGCCTGTCAGTCCGATAGCGTAGCCAGTTAGTAAGCCAACGGTCCGGAAGACCGGCTAAGCAGCGCTTGCTATACTGGTTTCCACAGTGGCTGCGGAGCGCTGCAGTTTTTGTCGCTTGTCGCTGTCGCGTGTGCGAGCAAGCTGAATGCGGCTGAAGCTCGTGTGAGTAAGTGCGCGCACAACAGCTGCTGGGGGACTGGAAAAACGAGTTAACATTTATTCCAGTTATTCGCGCTACTGCCCGACAACGATGCATCACTGGAGAGAGTGCGAGTGCGAACGCTGTACTTCAGTGCGAAGTCACTCGCACTCACAGAGCCTACTGCAGCTTGCTCGCTTTGGCAGCGCGCCAATCAGACATGCAGCAGAGCAGTGCCGTTAGTTGTGCCGCATGGCGAATTGACGCCACGATTGGTGGAAAGAGTGCGGCCACACCTGAAAACAAATATGGCGCTCTCTCTTACGCTACCGTTACGTGAACCGGTTCTTAGCGACATGGCGCATGGTTGCTGTTTGCAGGAAAACCGCACCTGAGCGCTATCGGGTTCTCGTTCTAACATTCGGAGCGTGGCTTGTGCTCGATTTTGTTGTTTTATGAATGGAGTTTTTTTCGCCCTTTTCATTCATTGTACACACAAGTGTTTTTTCTGCTTTGTGTATTGAAACACATTGTTTTTGTTGCATGCAGGCATGGGTGCCTCTGCAAACTGCAAGTAGTTCTTCAGTTTGTTGTTGTTGCATTTTTGTTACTTTTTTCTTGTTGCCTTTTGGGAATGCTCACTTATTGCCGAGGCGGAGTTTTAAAAACTGCCTCAACGCACTTCTCCTTCCTCTCAACACCGCGTCTGTCTCTTCCACATAGCTCGTGTTTTAACCTGCTGTTTTATGTTTTATTTTCCCCTTTTATCCACACCTCTCACCTTTTGACACAACACCACCGAGGCTGACTATGAGTTCGCTTCAGCTATTTTTCTCACCATTTCAGCATACAGTCACAGTCGTTGCCGCTCGGCCACCCAACCACCCAGCCACTGCCGTTGCGGCGTCACTATTTGGTGTGTGTTTTTTTTTTGTTGCTGCTTTTGCCATTTTGGCTTTCGGATTTTGCTCTCAACTCAGCGCTTGGTCTTTTTTTATTGCCGACTTATGCAAATTTGGAGTGAAAATTTACGCGATTTGCTTGAATGTTTTGACTGCAAGTGCAAATATTGTGACATAAGGGAGAATAATAAAATTGAATCAAATACATATATAAAAAGGCATAACGAGAAATGCAAAAAATAACGAGGAGATATGAAAAATAAGAAATATAATAACCGATTAAAGTTGCATATTTTGTTGCCCGACTTGATTATCGCTTAACATTTGATATGTTAATTAATTATGGACGAATTCCAACACATTCGGGAACAAAAGTTATAATTTTCATGCTATCTCAATTTGTCAAATGTCTTTGTATATATGGGTGTTTCCTGCACCAGTATGCGAAATAGTGTCAATTGACCTTATTTCCGTTGATCTTGGTCTGCTCGCATACAATTTTGTTTTGCTACAGTCAAAATCCTTGAATTCATTTTTAAAAAGCTGATATGCTTCGGTAACTGTCAAAACCATGTAGCGCTTTGGTATAGGCGATTCTTGCTTACTTAACAATGTTTATTTTCTTCCAGCTGCTTGTACAATTTTTATTAATTTCGGGTCGTCATTTTCGCATTTCGCCTTCTCATTTTCAGTCGTCATATTAATCCGACAATTTCTTCTTAATTTTTTTTTTCAAATTTTTTTCTGGCTTTACTGTCTACTTTTATACTTGGCAAGTTTTTTGCGAAATTTAGTCGCATCTTGGTGCTTTTTTGCCAGGATATAATCTCTGTTTTTTTATATTTTACCCACTTTCCTTCATCTTTCTTCAAATTCTGTGTCCACTTCATTGCTCTCTCATCCATACTTTTAACGGTCGGTAAAGTTATGTCCTTGTACAAGCAGAAGTATGTACTATATCTATATAAATACATAGAAACAATATGAACAAAAATTATTTGAAGCGTTCGGACGTTCCGATTTTAAATTTCCTTACAATCGGTAATTCTATAGTTTTCCGAAAAAAAAAAATTTTATGCGACAAAAACTAGCTTTTGTATTAAAATTTTGACAAAAAGAAGTAAACGTTACGACTTTTTTTACATATGAAGTATATTTTGCGTCCGAACGCTTAAAAAAAGCACAATTTGTAATTTAACTTTAGACGGTTCCTTATATATTTTTACGTTTTTTTTTTTGTAAGACTATAAGCTATAAATCCTTGCATAGAGTTCCAATTCGTTTTAATTGTGTACCAAAATTATGAAGGCTTTCTGGAAAGTATGATTTCTCCGAAAAAAAATATTTGAAAGCGTACCTAGTTGAAAAGACGCCAATATCTTGAAATGCAATGGACCAATTAGTCCAATATTTTGGTGTATGAATTGAAAATGAAAAATTCAAATTTAGTAAAAAATTTAGTCCTTCACTTTATAATTTTAAGTGATTCTCAAAAATGTAAAGTTTTTTCTATAAACACCAACTAAGTAATTATTTGGTAGAATACTGTTAATAAAAGAAAATGCAATTCTTTATCCAAACATTATGATTTGGAGAAAAATTCCCCACTTACCTTTTTCATACCACAAAATTTTGTAAAAAAAATTTTTCCCGGTGAAAACTTTTTGGCAAATAAATGAATTTTCATTTAGCTGTTTTTTTTTTTAACTGACTATGTATAGTACGATTTGAAATATTTTGTTCTAGTTTTGACACTTCTGTTGCTGTCGAAATCACTTGAATGTATAAAAGTGATAACTCCAAAATTTTTTGTTGTTAGGAATGCTGTTGAAAATTTCTAGGGCCTTTAGAATTAAAAAAATTTCCAACTCTTCAATCGAACGCTATTCTTCATACAATACAAAACCTCTTTATAAATGTTTCTTTAATTTGCCTTTTTCTACGCGTATGGACTCGAAATAAAAATTCAGAAACTGATTTTTTTTTTCTAAATTTTAGCGAAGAATATAACCAAAATGGCGCTCTTAATTAACCCTTCTCTTCCAGTAGTGGGGTTATATGGCTTCTTCTTCTTATTTGGCACTGCAACCGTTTGTCAGTTTGGGCCGAGACTAAAAAACTTCGCCAGTTGTCTCTCTCTTTTGCGACACTGCGCCACTTGTTCATCCCAATTGCGGATAGGTCCTTCTGCACTTGGTTCTTCCATTGTGTTCGTGGGCGCACTTGCCTTCGTTTTCCACCCATGGGTGCAAACTTCTGTAACAACATAGAAGAGAACTCTGCAGCCATCAGGCTGAGGAAACTTCTCTCGAAATCCTCTTCAAGTATGATCTCTATCCAGAAGCCTAACGGTGACTGGACGTCATCATGTAACGAAATGCTGGAGGTCCTTATGAGCACTCACTTCCCGGGCTGCTCGGATGACAACTCCGGCATTTCGGACGGTCCTAGGACCTACTTGTCTCAGGGTGATACCGTTAGGGATGTCGTAAATGATGAGAGGGTGGGGGAGGGCTTTAATGTCCTTTCGGTCGACGGAATACCAAAACTGAATCAGCATGCATATTTCAAGGGAAAATCCGTGGAGACCACACTTCACGAAATCGTATGTAGGATTGAAAAAAGGGTTGGCCATAATGAAATACACGCTCGAAGTTTTCTCGATATCGAGATTGCTTTCAGCAATGTCTACCCGAAGTTAACTCCCTTCTCATGGCGGGGGTGCAGCGGGGTCTGGTGGATTTTTTGTGCTCCTTCTCGAAAAGCGAACTATTCTATCAGAACTGGGGGCTGGTTCCAGCGCAAAATATGTGACTAGAAGCACTCCCCAAGGGGGCGTTCTCTCCTTTCTACTCTGGAATCTAACGGTGAACACCCGACTTCTAAGCCTAAAGGGAAGCGGTTGTCAAGTCAATGTGTACACTTGGCAACGGGCAAACTTATTCAGGTCCTGAGTGAGTTATTGCAAAACGAACTCGGTCTGGTAAACATCTAGCCCAAGGAATGTGGACTTAGTTTCAATCCTACCAGGGCAGAAATGGTACTTTTCACAAGGAAATATAAACCCTCTTTATTTAAACCTCCCCCTCTAAACGGGGTGGCACTTACTCTCTCTCAACCGATTTCAAAGTCCTTGTAGTCATTCTAGACAAGAAACTGGACAAGATGCGAAACATTGAAGATCGCTCCAGGAAGCCCAATACCGCCCTGTATGTCTGTAATATGGCTATAGGCAAAAAAAAAGTGGAATAAAACCACACATATTTAATACACTGGATGCACGCAGCTGTGATAATACCCATCCTTTTCTACGGGCTCACCGTAGGGAGGCCTGCGCTAAACAACACCTTGTCCAGAGCTAAGGTGGATCGAGTACAGAGGACGGCTGCCATGCTCATAACGGGAGCACTGCCCACTACAGCCACCAAATCTCTGGAAGTAATGTTAAATCTCCCACCTGTGGATCTCTACGTCAAATTTCGAGCCGACTGCAGTGCGGCTAGAATAAATACGATCCAGCTCAGATTCGGACACGCAAAAGTACTTAAAACTCTACCGGGTAATCTAAGACACAAGAATCCCACAGAGGAACGAAAAGGAAGGGGCCACATACTTGAACCTATGGTCTACGGCCATATATACAGATGGTTCCCAGCTTAACAAAAGAGTGGGTAAGGGGATTTACTCTGACGAACTCACGTCTTTCCAGCAGAGCTAAACGCCATAACGCGTTCTCTCGAAAGCCTCAAAAGCCTTCTCTTTTTTGTTAGACATCGTGCATGTTTCTGATGTGGAGATGTGGAGAGCATAATTTTTTTTTTCGTTGAGAGACGCCTCTGCTTTTCAATTGGCTACCGAGCCCAATCTGCAGACCGACATTATTGGTGGTCTTATGCATGAGAGCGAACCCTAATTTGGCCTCAAAAGGCGCGGAGGGAGCATAGCCATATTAGTTTTGCAGGGATCGCAAGTTTAGACATAGCATGGTTTAGGCAGCTTCCTTTCGTGCTATCAAAAGCAGCTTTAAAATCGACAAAAATA